AGAAAGTTTTTAGCTTTGAGGTCCGGATTATGGGTGTCTGAAATTAACGACTTTTGACTGTATATGTATATGTGTGTGTGCATTATTTAATAATTACATTAAATTCAATAAGAAGATCTTTCAGCAGGTGAAAGGAATTCCAATGGGAGCGAACAGTTCTACACAAATATGTAACCTATTTCTTTTTGCTAATGAATATAAATTCCAACTTAGTTTGAATAAGAATGAATTAAAGTTATTTGCAAATGCATTCAGATACATTGATGATATTATAACTTTCAATAATAATTCTGCTTTTGAACAATTCAAAATTTACCCAAATAGTTTAACACTTAATAGAACTAATAATAATCAAAATAATATTGAATACCTAGACCTGCTCATAATTAAACACAACAAAATTAAATTATATGATAAAAAGGAGGATATTCCAGTTTGAAACTATTACATTAATTAGAACTCTAATATATCTAAAAAATAATAGGTAACACTTTTTATGTACAAATAATTAGAATTAAAAATATATGTACTGAAATAGAAGATTTAAAGGAAGAAATAATAAAACAAGGCTGATCTTTGGAATATGGTAACAGGTACTTTGGCTACATTTTGGAGGCGATAAAGGTTACTACCAAAGTGATAGGGACATCTCCATAGAAAGATAGTTTTCAACGAGCTTATGTTATTCTTGATGCTTTTTAGTGCTTGTTTCTCAGTCTGATTGTACCTGGATGTCGTTTTATCTTTACTTGGACATTTTTTCTATCAAAATTGTTACAAGATGATTTATTTTGTGGTTTTATATCGTTCTTAGAAACCTTTGTGGCTGATCTTTGGAATATGGTTAACAGGTAGTTTGGCGACATTTTGGAGGCGATAAAGGTTATACCTAGGACTTTGGGAATAATGTGAGAAGTAATCAGTTCCGATTACGCATATTTTGTGTGAGAGAAATGAGAGATCATAGAATGTGTGACATTAATGGACGAATCACCGTTCTTTAACCGGAAAAGGGGGTATATTTGTAAAAATATCTGCTGTACTTTATAGCAGTAGTTTCATTTTATGTTCTGTGAAACAGTGTTGTTTAATATTTGGATCGCATGGCCGTATATAAAGTAAATCCGAAACTTTTATTGCGTTTATGTGTAATTGAAAAGAATTGCTTAATTGCGGATAAGTATGAATGTCCGATATGTGGGAATGAAATGAGATTGTGTGAAAGGAAGGATAGTACAAATAGTTTAAATGCCAGTGCAAGAAACCTGGTGAAAATGGACATTTTGTGATCCGCCATGCACTCAAGATTCTGTAGAAGATTAGGTAAGTTAGTATTTTTAATTATTTGAGGATATTATTTTTATGCATTTTCTAAATGTAAGGAGTAAATAAATTAATATGGTATTATTGGAAAATTGTTATTAGCAATGATTTAGTTTAAAGTAATTAGGATTGAAAGCTAATTTTTATTAATTTAATGTATCTGCTTATTTATATTTTAAGTAGTGTTTTTAAATTTAATTATATTTTAATTTAATGATCGTGATTTTGAGAGTTATATGTTTGTAGTATTTTGGAATATGTTTGAGTAGAAGTAAATGTGCATGGAAAGAATTTAAGTATTTGACACTAAGTATTTGTAATCATTTTTAATGTTTTGTTATAAATTCGGTGGTGACGTTTATAATAGATTATTTAGAGGTAAAAGTTTTTGGATATTTTATTTATTTTATACGTGCAAATGTCCGTCCTTGGGAAGGGTATATACTTTTTCGCGATCAGGTAATTTCATATATGTCCTTTTTACCGAAATTAAAGATTCACAAAATTTTCATGCATTTTCGTGAAATTTTTCTAATGTATGAGAAAAAAGCAGTGTACATGGATATAGTGAAGAGTGTGCACAATGCCTTTTTGTGCAATTCTGGGATGTTTTTTAAGTAAAAAATAAGTCAACGTGTACATGGTTTAGTGATATTTTAATTAAATGAAAGTTATTTTGTGAATTTTATGTTTGTAGGAATTGGTAACGTTTCAGTTGAAGTAAACGTGTATGGAAATAATTTAAATATTTGATACTAAGTATTTGTAACCATTTGTAATGTTTGCGGTATGAATTCGTTGGTGACGTTTATAATATAATAGATAATTTAGAGGTAACGTTTTGGATATTTTATTTATTTTATACGTGGAAATGTTCATCTTTGGAAAGGGTATATACTTTTTTGCGATCCAGGTAATTTTCATATATGTTCTTTTACCGGATTTAAATATTCACAAAAATTTATGCATTTTCGTGAAATTTTTCTAATTATGAGAAAAAGCAGTGTACATGGATATAGTGAAGAGTGTGCGCAATGCCATTTTGTGCAATTCTGGGATGTTTTTTAAGTAAAAATAAGTCAACGTATACATGGTTTACTGATATTTTAATTAAATGATAGTTTATTTTGTGAATTTTATGTGTTGTGTAGGAATTTGGTATACGTTTCAGTTGAAGTAAACGTGCATGGAAATAATTTAATTTGACACTAAGTATTTGTAACTATTTGTAATGTTTGCGGTATGAATTCGTTGGTGACGTTTATAATATATAGATAATTTAGAGGTAAACGTTTTTGGATATTTATTTATTTTATACGTGGAAATGTCATCCTTGGAAAGGGTATATACTTTTTCGCGGGTCAGGTAATTTCATATATGTGCTTTTTTTACCGAGTTTAAAGATTCACAGAATTTTTTTGCATTTCGTTGCAAATTTTTTGTAATTATGAGAAATAGCAGTGTAGATGGATAAAGTTAAGAGTGTGTGCAATGCCATTTTTGTGCAATTCTGGGATGTTTTTTTAAATAAAAATAAGTCGACGTGTAAATGGTTTATGTGCATGTGCTATTCTGAAAAACACGCAAGGTGTTTGCGATTGTGCACTTTTTTTCAACTTTGCAGTTAGTATTTGTCTTGATTAAGCAGTTTTGTTACATAAAATTTCTAGCATAAGTGTAATTCGGCTAGTAGATTGTTGGAAAAAGTGTTCAGTAAATAAAAAGAAAAGAAACATGTCTTTACTTCATGAAGACAAAATGGAGGCGAAAAAAAAAATAGAGGGTTGCTGTAGCAGAGTTGGTCGCCAAAAAATTGCCAAGTTACCATAATCCAAAGATCAACCTAAAACAAATTAATATTCAAGTTAATAACGAAGTCCAAAATTTTTTATTATACTCGATATTAAAAAGGCAGGCATTAACTTTTCTTTTTAATTTTTTAACTCTTTATGGTATGATAATAGTACCTTAAACCTTAACTGGAGGATAATAGAGGATTTTGAAGTGTTACGGGATTACTTGTAAAAATGTATATTTTACCAATACTGGATTCTTTCCTTTTACTAATGAAGAGCCAACTCTTTTCAAAAGTCTCAATTATAGCCCAAATCGAGTGAAGATTTTTATCTAATTTTTTCTAGTTTCTTCACCTTTGGCCAGTATTTAGTTAAAGTTTTGATTGAACTTATAATGCAGTTCAGTACAAAAAATTTCTTACAATAATTTTCTATTTCAATTCATAATTTTCTTTTACAATTCCAATTCAATTTAAACTTATTCAATTCAATTAAATTATTTATTCAAATTCAGTTAAATTATTTATTCGTATTTTTACTAAAAGAATTTTTTACTCTTTAGTTGTTTGCAACATTTATTTTCACAAACAGTAGCAGGAAATATTTTTTACTTTTTACACTTTTTACAATGACTCAAAATTGGCAACATTAACAAGCATTACATTTTTGGAATTTACAACATGGGTTTTTACAATAGCTCTCACAGGTAGCAGCTTTACACTACACACTTTACATTGTATTAGAGACCTCTATTTTTACAGTTAGCAGTACAACTCCTCAAATCAACTAATTCAGCAAATGCTGGTACAGCTCAGAAATTCAAATATGTATCTAGGTAAGTTAAATTAAAACTTGCTATTTTATTATTATTAAATTAAATATTTTATTATTATTAAATTATTAAAACTTGCTATTTTATTTTACTATTAAATTAAAACTTGCTATAAACTAGCCTTTTTATTATTTTTTTATTTTTGTATTTTAATTGTTGTACACAGTTTATCTTAGGTTTACATGCATAATTCGTGTTTGGAGAGTTTCCCGTAGTTTCTAAATTACTAAAAATTTTGGTTTTCTACTCTTGACTTTAAAAAAAAAAAATAATTAATTAATTTTAACTTTAGTCATTTACTTGCATTTTTCTCAAAATTCCACTGTTTAAATTTTTTTTTTTGTGTGTAATTCAGAACATTTGATTTTACTTTTGGTTTTAAATTTTACTTTTACCTTTGCCTATATGGATGATGAAACACGAATTGAGTAATTGAATTTGATGAAACACGAATTGAGGTTTGGGGGCAACTTCCCCTTGATAAGTCTGTCTTTTGTCTGCTTAACAATTATTCACTTCTGCAATTTTTAAGAATAATACATTTAATTTTTTGGAATAATATAATTTTTCACGGTTTTAGATAAGTGCAATTAATTTGCATGACATTGTAAAGTAGTTCGCAGCAATAATAGTTTTTATTTTTATTTCTTTGCAAATAAAATTTCATTTTAAAATTTTAATTTTATACTTGCTTTATATGAATATAGAATTTTATATTTGCTTTATACGAATAGAGAATATTTGTTGAATTCAAATATTTGTTAAATTTATATATATATGCAAATATATCAAATATTTTTTGCAAAAGTAGAGTAAAATACACATAAAAATCTAAGTTATATTTTTATCCAGACATTTATAATTCTGTTCTTTTAGTCTTTCTTTTCCATTCTTAACTATATGCATTTATATACTTTATACATTACAATTTAGACATGCTACAATTATGTTATCCTTTTAAAAAATATGAACAGAAGAAAAATTATAATAAATATTCCAGTCTGAAGTTATCTTCAATAACTAATTTCCAATACTGCAATATTACTCACCATCAAGATCTTCAATAGGTTTTTCATCTTCGAGACTTTCGTAATTTTCTGACCATTGAGAATAAGACCATTTGGATTTGTCTTCAACCGAAGACTGGCGTTCAGAATGAGCTGAAGTTTCACATTTTCTATCATCAGGTTGCGTTGTCTGATTCGCTTCTATACCACTGTCCGATATAAGTATGCCTTCGCTATCAGAAGTGTCCTTTTCGGTTTCAGCTTTTTCTTGCACTTCATCTCCAGTTGATTCTAACACTTCTTCTTTTAAATCAGAATCGACATTTGAATCATCTACATTAATACTCTCCGTCACGTTTTGAACATCGACATCTGCTGCCTTACTCATTGGACTAAAATGATATAAATTCGTAAATTATGATTAGCATTCGGGAATTTAATTATTTTTTCTTACGTGATATATGTAAAAAAACATTTTTAAACAGTAATATATTACAAACTGACTGAGTGAAAAATAACTGAAATAGTTAATTAAAAACTCAAAAACTAACTTACGTTACTCCAGTATTCACCACTTCGTTGTTGACAGGTTATCTTCACGAGAAAAAAGGGGGAGAAAATGGGAGGAGTTACGAGATTCTCTGGGTTGCATGAAGATCTACTAATAACTTTCTCGCCAAGTAATTTGCGTCGAGCTCATTCTCATTTCTGGAACTGTGCTTGAAGAGTGGTCGTCTTTTTGATCCGTAAGTATGCTATAATTCTCCCATAAATTTTTAATATTTTTAATACGTTGTTTCCAAATTTACACATTTTGCCTGATTAATTTGAAGTTGTTTGTTTTAGATGTGCGCAATAGCAATATTGGCAAATTTCAGGTTTTTCGTCAATATAACCAAGTTTTTTTATTTCTCTGGTAAGTGTTTGCTTTATATCTTACATTTATTATTAAAATATGAAAAGTAATTTTTGCATGTGTATATTTTTTCATGCTCAATTTTCTGTTTTATGTGCTGGTAGATTCCTGGCCGATTACCGTGTTTTTAGATAAATGCGCCATTTTCATTTAGTTAGGTCGTGTAGAGATTACTGTTTCCATTTTTTTAAGTAACCACGAAATTTCTTAACACATGTAAAAGCTTTACTAGTAAACTTTTGATTGGGGATATTTCAAGTAAATGTGACATTTATTACTGAATTTGTGTAGAAGTTGCTCTTCGTTATGCCTTTTTGAGCCAATATGTTAATTAGTTGTATTATTTTAATACCTTGTTTTGCAGATTAATGCAGTTTATTTGACAGATGTGTAATGCTGTTTGTTGAAAAATGCATTAGAACCAATGATGGTAAGATCTGGCCTAGGAAATTGGTAAAATATTACCTGCTCTTAATTACTGAATCATATTGTAGGATAAAATCTGCTGTTTATGTATGAAAATTTGTACTTTATCTCTGATTATGTGGCCCAGAATTTCATTATTAATGATCGATTCATTAAAATTAACTATTTTTAATTGTCTACTTTGTTTTGTGTTGCTGCGTTCATCTGCATTTTTTTTTTTTTTTTTTTTTTTTTTTTTGTGAGTAGATATAAAAATTAATTTTGTTTTTTATTTTTTTCCCTCAATGACTCTTTTTATTGTGCTGGTTAAATTTTGAGAAAATTTTTAGTAAATGCACCGTTTTTACTAGTTTGCGTAAAAATTGTTCTTTCTTTATGCCTCTTTTGAATAAATATGTCAATTCTTGTTTGTATTATTTAATATCTTGTTTTGCATATTCACACAGTTTATTTGACAGATTGAGATGCGATTTGTTGAGAATATTCTTAAAACTAATGCGGGTTAAGATTGGCCTAACAGATTGGTAAAAGATTTTCTGATCTTAATTACTGAAATTTTTATTATATTCTAGGTTAAAATTCTGCCTTTTACGTGTAAAAATTTTTTTTTATTGATTATGTGCCAAATTTAATGATTCAAGAAAAATGCCATTCTGTGTGTAGCTAGTTCGTTGTTGCTGTTCGTCATGCAGTTCTGTATAGGTTTGAAAATTTATTTTACATGTGTATTTTTCTCATCCATTTTTGCTGTGCATTTTCTGTGAATATTATTTTTATTAGTCTATATAGAATTTGCTCTTCTCCTTTTTTAAATAAGTATGATAATTAGTTCTTGTTTGTGTTATTTTATGCCCAAACAATTCACTTTCGAATGTTTGTTAATTATAGAAGCTAATTTACTTTTTGCTTGCAGTTTTTAACTCTGTACCTTTATCCAGACATAAGTAGCATCGCCTTTTATTTGTAAAATTAAAATATCGTAGTCGGGGAAAAGGTTTTCAATTCGAAAGGTAGTGGCTTTTCTAATTGCAAGAATTCTCTTCAGAATTATAATAACATAGGCTGTGCATTCTCTGCTAGTATTTCATTCTCGAAAAGTCTGGTAGACCTTTTAAATCGCAATTTAATCTTATAATAAGAACGAATTCATTTGGAAGAAATTTAAAAAATAAAGGCATTAAATATTTCTGTATAAATCAGTATGTACTTTTTGTTTCGCCGGGGCAATCTCGCCAAGCGACTTATTGGCGACAAACACATAATAACATAAAAATTGTCAAAAAAAAGGTTGGTTCTAAGATTTTTTTTTTTTAAAGGCAAAACATTTTAATATCGTTTAAAGTTTTGTAATAAGACAATAATTTTTAAAACATAAGAATTTACTTGCTTTAATGGTACACATCCTGATGATTCGCAGGTTCGTATCACGTGAACCCAAGTGATCTCATTTCACGTTAATTCTGCTCAACTACGCTACAAAAATCTAATTCTCTCAATGATTCAGTAATTATCTACATAATTTCAAGTTACATTTAATGTGGAATACAGTTTAATGCAAGTATATTTCAGTTCGTACGAAGCTTACTTAGAATTATGTAAAAACCCAGTACTTTAGTTCGCTAGTGCATTCTCATTGAATTGATGAATTTCCCTCTTGATTTAACTTTTCTATATTTTCGCTTCGTTGAGCTGTGTGATTGCCTCTAATGACTTAAATACCGCGAATGGCTTAGGGCAAATTGAACTTTCTGGAAAAATCTATGTAATTGTATGCCAGTATTGAAAGAAACAGTGGCGTGCTAGGGTGGGGGCAGAGGGGACATCTGTCCCCGGGCGCAGCATCCAGGGGCGCCAAATAATGCTATGAAATTTTTTAATGAATGTTTTGCATTCTTGACACATAGAAAAGGGCGTAAATTCTCAGTTGTCGCCGGGCGCTGGAATCTAGCTCGCCATGGAAAAAACAATCAATCTGATAAAAAAATGGCTGCGAATGTTTTGAAGATGAGCGTAAAAAGTTACCAGTGGAGATATTCGTTTAGCATCTGTTGTACATTTTGGCGAAGCATCTTTTCTCAAAAGTTTGTATTTTTCAGATTTCAAATTGACTTTGTTCTTGTTTTGCAGGTTAACATGCTTTATTTGATTGTTAGAAGTAACTTTTCGTAAAAAGGCCTTTAATTATAGATCATTATTGGTAAATTCAGGCTAAACAGATTGGTGAAATTTGACATAACTACTGAATTCTGCTAATTATATGGGGATGTCCATAATTTAAATTTTTCCTAGTAAATCGATCAATTGGAACAAAATGTGAAATGATTTTTAAAGAAATGTCATTTGCGTATTCATAAAATTTCCAGCCATGGTCTTTTAATAATATTTGTTTTTAGTATAAAAAAAAGTTAGTAGAGATGGTCCTACCAATTTGAATAAATATGGAATTTAGTTTTAATAGTTTTATTTATTCATGTCATTATTATATTAAGTATAAGGCTATGCTCGTAGATTTTCTAGAAAGGCAAGTTTCCCAATAAATAGCAGTTTTATTTGAGTATGGGGTTGCTATTTATCCAGCATTTTTAGTATGAAGACTAATCATACTAAAAAAAATTTGCGCATTTCTTCAAGTAAAATCAGGTGTTGTGCTGTGCCGGATCATCTGCTAATGGACAAAAGTTCCTAAATGTTGTGACGTTTAAGTGTGGTTTGATTATATGCCACTGAAACTAAATGAATTTCATATTGACAAAAAAATTTTTTTTTTTAATTCTGGGTATATGTTGAGCATGTGTGTAAATTTAAGTCATTCTGGATTTTCTTTCTTGAGTAATTCGTTAACTTGCGTTATTGTAAAAAATTTTCCTATGAACTTACTTTCGTTTATTGGCACAGGTGATAATAGATTTTTAACCCCCCCAAAATGAAAATTTCAAGGGGCTATAGAGAGTATGCTCAAGTTAAAATAACTTACTTTTCTTTATCCCTTTTGTTTGAGAAGCTTTTCTGCAGCATACAGTGACCTCCCTTTTCTATTATAAGAATGCAGTCAAAAGTCTTTATCTGGACGTCCATAATCCGAAATGATCTGGACCTCAAAGCTACAAATTTCTGCGCTGCGCGTTAAT